AGAGATTTTAGCGATAAGAATTAGAAACAATAAAAAAGTAAGGGGTATCAATATAAATGACTGTCCTATTTTAGTATCACAGTATGCTGATGATACCTCGTTGATTTTAGATGGTACAAACATTTCCCTAAAAGAAGCAGTTGGTGAATTAAATAATTTTGCAAAAATTTCTGGGTTGAAAATAAATAAATCAAAATCTCAGGTAATATGGATAGGAAGTAAAAAGCATAGTGAGGAAGTTCTTTATCCAGAATGGAAATTACAGTGGGGAAATAAAACTTTTAATCTTTTGGGGATAGAATTTCATGTAGACTTGCATAAAATTACTAGGCTGAATTATGATAAAAAGTTAGTAAAAATAAAGGCACTTATAAATACATGGAATAGGAGAATAATTACACCAATTGGTAGAATTTTTATCATCAAATCAATACTCATCTCACAACTCAATCACTTATTTATTGCATTACCAAACCCAAATGAATGTTTTATTAAAAAATTAAACACCGAACTATTTAACTTCTTATGGAAAAGCAAAGTTGACAAAACCAAAAGAGACATTGTTATAAGAGACTATATTGATGGTGGATTGAAAATGATGCATGTGATGTCTTTTATAGAATCCTTAAAATTAACATGGATAAGGAGACTATTTACAACATCAAGTAAATGGCAGGAGATTTTAAAAACTTATGTTGATTTAAATATTTTAGCAAACTGTGGGACGGAATACATTGTTAAATGTGAAATGACGAGTAAAAATCTTTTTTAGAAAGACGTGTTCAATGATAATCAATGCAAGGGAGAGAACTCCTTTTCCAAAACGCCTATCTGGTATAATAAATTGTTTAAAATAAATAATGAGAGTATTTTTTATAGGAAGTGGTTCAGTAAAGGTGTAGTTATAGTTAATGACCTACTTAAGGATAATAATTCAAAATTGTTTTATACTCTACAAGAAGTTCGACAAATTTTTAAAATTGAAACAAATTTTCTTCAGTACCAAGGTCTGCTATCTACAATTAAAAGACATCTCTCTCAACAACATGAAATAAAATGTATAAGCTATCCTTATATACCTAGTAATATACAAATATTTCTAAGAAATAGGAAAGGTACAAAAGACTTTTATAGTTTGCTTTGTAAAAATGATACACTGTCAACTGGTAGAAAGAAATGGAGTAATCATTTTGATTATAATGATAATACATGGAGAAATATCTACAAAATACCATTTCAAGTAACCAAAAATACAAAACTGCAATGGTTTCAGTATAGAGTTAATCAACACATCTTAACCACAAACTTATATCTGTACAGGGCTGGAATAGTAGATAATCCTCATTGTTATTTTTGTAAATCAGACATTGAAACAATAGAGCATGCACTATGGGAGTGCAATCAAGTTCAGAATTTATTAACAAA